GAAACATACAATGAAACAAAAATGCTCCTTTTAAGTTCAGGCCTAAGGACAGGTTTATGGAATAGAGACTTTAACTTATAAATGTTCAGGTTTTAAGCGAATGTGATGTATATGTAACAGGGGCTGATGGCCTTCAGGCACATATTTATCTGTTGGTCCACAGGTCAGGGGGCTGGAATGAGTGGGCCGATGTTCATTATGTGGCATTGATCACGTAGCAAGCAAACAGCATGTCATGTACTTTACCCCTTTAGCACTTGTACCACTAGGTCTGGAATCACAGGCACTAATTGTAGGTCAAAGAGGACAGAGATTAATCTCTTCCCCACTTTGGCTGGGATGTAGGTTAGTCCTTACACATAGTGGTTGAGATGCCATCAGTCTGTGCTGTATTGAATTGAGCTAACTGGATAGAGCCCATGCTAGGGACTATCAGTCTAAGAATATATAGGAAAGAAAAACAACTGCTTATGCTGTAAGCAACATTTCCAGTGGACTAGGGAAACGACTTCAGTCTTTAGCCTTTGTGGGTAATACAGAAGTGACATCTCAGTTCAAATTTAGTTATTGAGTGTTTTCTTTGTCTGAATTAATTAGTTCTCATTTAAGAAAAAGTCATTTATAAATGAAAACATCTGACTAGCTGACCTCTTTACTTTAGATATCATAATCAGAGACACCAACTAAGTATCTCATAGCTTTAAAAATTTCACATAAATCTGGTTGAGAAAAAGTGATTGGAGTTTTATCTCAACAGTGTGTATTTCATCCAGCTTATACTATATATTAATATAGTAAGTTGAGATGCCCTAAAGAACTAAAGGTGAAAGGCACAAACTTAAAACAATTAGAAGACAGAGGAGAATATTTTTATTACCACAGGCTGAGAAAGAATTTCTGAAGAATGACTCCAAAATAAATATTGACCATAAGTGAAAACCTGACAGTTTTGACCACATCAAAATATAATGTCATAAGCCATCACAGACAGGTTGGAATAATAAAATACTGCCTACGAAAGATCCTCAACACATACAGTAGTCAAGGGATTAATATCCAGAGGAAATGTACCACTCTAATAAAGGAATTTTAAAAAGAAAAACTAGCCTGTAGGAAACTAGGCTTCAGCATATGATCAGGTGAGTCACAAAGAAGATGGCTAGGAAACATATGACCTGCTCTCTTATTAATAGTTATGGAAATGCAGAAATGTAAGTGAAGGTAGTGATGTTACTGTTCAGTTCATAAGACTGTCAAAATCTTAAAAGTCTAATCAACTGTAAGTGAGAATGTAAGGACAGAGGGCTTCTCAACCATGGCATCTGGGAGGGGAAATTGGTGTAGCTTGTCTATACGGCTACAGATGAAAGGTCCAGACAGTAAATTTTTTAGGCTTGAGGGCCAAGGGACAGTATGTAGGATATCATGTAGGTACTTCCAAAATCATTTAAAAATGCATGAACCATTCTTAGCTCACAGCTATATAAATAAAGTCTGCGGACCAGCTTTAATACGTGGGCTTGCAGACCCATGCTACAGAACTACTTGGGTAGTGACTGAGATCCCAGATTCTACTTTCTGGCATCTATTCTAACGAAACTCTCACACCAGTGGACACAACGTACAAACACATTAGTTGTAACATTATAAGAGTAAAATACCAGAGAGCAACCTAAATATCCTCCAGGAAGGGAAATGATAAATATATTTGGCATATCAGTTATAGTTCTTTTTTCATGACTATATATACTAATCACCAAATGAGCTTTATTTGTACTAAGATAAAAAGATTTCAAGAAGAATATTTGGTGAAAAATTTAACAGAGAATGCATGCAGAGTTTCATTCCATTTACTCTGATGATTGCTGCTACTAATGGATTGTAAGGAGGGAAACACATGGTCAGATAACTCGGCCTCAGTGTGATATGGTCCTAATAGTGACAGAAGCATGACATCAGGCATCTGCCACAGGGACAGCCATAAGTGCGCTGCAGTGCTTCTCAAAGAAAAAAATTCATAGTAATCTTAAAAGTGAATGGTATTAAATGTTCATAAATGATGACCTTAAATTAAAAACACTATATATTTTTAATGGATACATTTATGCATGGGTAAGTATTGCATTTCATTGATTTTAAGATGCACATTTATTTTCACATTTTAACAACTCTGAAATTGGGGTGCACCTTACATCTATGTGTATAGTTTAATTGTTGGAGTTTTTTGGTTAATGTTTCACGAAATAAGAGTTTTCTTATAGTTGGGGATGTGTTACATTTAGTGAAATGTGATCTAAAACTGGAAGGCGGATTCATAAATTATCATAGTCATTGTCTGGGAGAAGGGGTGTGGAAAAGAAGGGAGGAGGAAGCTAGAGAGAGGCTTGGAGCAGGGAGGGGCATAGTGATACTTTACACTGATCAATAATACTTCAATCAGTTAAAAACATCTGAACTAACATAATAAAATGTTAGCATTTATCAATATATAACTCTAAATGCATATACCATCTTATTTAAACTTAAAGGAACACAATATTGGTGGTAACTATGTTCATCCTCTTGTTCAATGGCTAAAGCATCCTCAAAACTACCAGTTCAGATCACAGGTACGTGGTAGCCTTGGAAAGTAGCAATGTTGGACATTGTCATCCTTGCTTTTGGATACAGCAATCAGGGAAACTGTCTGATTCTTCCAAAGTGACACATCTAACGGACCAGCAGAGCTAGGACCTGAACCTAGATCTTGAACTCCAAGCCCGTATTCTCGGACTCACCATATTTACCAAACTGCCCTGTTGACTATTCAATTCTCAGTTGCTTTACAGATTTGAAAAAAATCTGAATAAAAGAAGAAATGATTTCAGTTTTCAGTTTTAACATAGAACTACTTTTTAAAATTAATAATAAGAATTATAATGAGTGTTTGGGGCAGATACTTAAATCAGTAGAATGAAGGGGTGGAATTAGATATGGGTTTTCAGGCTGTGCTCTGCGGAGTCCTAAAGGCTCATGTGGACCTCAGGAGCTCTGGGAAATGCTTCAGTGTTGCACGATCAATGCCAAGTTTTTGGACCAATACATAAAATTAAGGCTGCCCAAGAAGCCTACATACCAGATTTAATGTTTTATTTCATTATATTAGCGATTCCTGTAGAAGTACACTTGAAAAAAATTGTTTTGCTCAGTAAATTACTAAGCTAGATCATTTTCTTTCTGCTTTCATACTGTATAAGTCTCTGACTTGTGGATCAAATTTATAGCTGATTGTGAAAAATCTACAACGAGGATGGAAAATAATTATATTGTTTTAATAGACGAACAGATAGATTATTCCCACACATAGGTGATCTCAAGCATACCTATACTAACTACATTTAACCCATGATCAATAGTCTGCAAGCTATTACATAGTTTTAAAGGAATCTAAACCCATAGTAGGCACTTAATAAGCTTTAGTGGAATTCATGAATAGTGAATGAATGAATGAGTGAATGAATGACACAGACTTAAAGGTCCTGGAAGGGAGGAGGCAAAGACCTCAGGGCCAAGGGTCAACTCAGCACAGCCAGATGTGTCTCTGGAAGCCAGGTCTCTGGACTGCTGAATGTTTTTTTCTTTTGTGAATATTTAAAAAGTGACCCATGTTAAAAAATGCCAAACTATTTCTACATTATTTTATTGTTTGAGCCCAGGACTTTACCGCCCATAACAATGTATTCCCATATACTTTTTGTTGGACATGCCTTAGTTTTGAAAGTCTTTGCCTATAGCAGATGTAACTTCTCACACATCTAGTTGCTCAAGCACTTATTTGACTCGTAGCTATTTAGAACTGGAAGGGACCACAGAGCTCATATGTAATTTGTCTTGTTTTAGTGATTCTTGGGCATAGGTGTGATTCCATGAAGACATTTTCAGTGACAACGTTAACTTCATAATCTAGAGAAGCAGCCATGTGGCTATGAGACTGCAGGCTTTCCAGGCAGACCTGGGAACATTCTGGTTCTAACAGTGACACTCGACATTATATTGGGCTCATAGTTAATTCCTCCGAGCCTCAGTTTCATCATCTGTAATGTAGGACTATTATTCGACTTGGTTGTTCCAAATATTAGGATTAAAACTGTAAAACATTTTGCTGTTTAATAAATAGTAGCATTTGTTTTTTCTTTCATGTGTTCCTGATAAAGGGTAACATTTGGGGTCCTCACCTTGGACCTTTTAACATTAGAGCTTAAGTTTGCTTCTTAAATATGTGTGCATTTATTATACGGAGATGTCCATCTGACATGAGAAAGACCTGAGAACGATATCTCTTAGTATGGTCACATTTCATAACTCTTTTCTTTCTTTTTAATAGAAACACATAGAAGAGAAAAAATCTGCCTATGTTGACAGAAGTCAATTTTTCCTGGATTTTAGTTTCCTGATATCTCGGCTTTATAGTGCTTTTACAATATTTGCAGCTATGTGTTTTGTTGTTTTCCCCGTGTGCTTCTTTCAGCCGCACATAGTGCAAACACACTGGGCTGATTCCTAATTAACTGACTGCACCCTGAGGTCTCCAGCTTCTGTCTTCAGTCTAATTACAGCTGTGAAGAAGAGTCCCTGAATTTCAAGAGTGTCTCTATGCGATAAAAAAAAAAATCATAACAATGTAGTTCTGGTTTGATCCTTAGATCATCTAGGGTGTGAATACTTAAGAGATGGTTAAATCAATATGCAAATGTGGGGTTTCCATTTTGATTTGTCTTGTTTTCCCTCATGCAAACGTTTGTACCTGATGGATTCAACTTCTTACTTAAATTTGATATCTAGTTCCTCAATTAGTTCTTTGATTCATAAAAACTTAGACTGGGAGGGACCTCATTCAACCGGACTGAACTCGACATTGGTTCTCTGCCTCTCGTTCTGAAACTGAAAATAGGCCAAAGATCTGTTGATGCTCAAGCCGTTATGAATCCCAAGACGGAATAGTGAAGAACTGCTAAACTCACCAGAGTGGCAAAGAGGTGATAGAGAATGAAATAGATGGCAACCACGGGTGCCCACATGTGTCCCACAGCATTTAGAGTTTGGTCCATCACGTCTACCCATCCTTCCTGGGTAAGGATCTGGAACATGGACATAAATGCCTACAGAGGAAAAGAATGGGAGGCATTAAACACCAGCTTCAGGCATGCAAGCAATTTGAAATTAGTATATGGTGTTTGGGACTGATCTCAGTATTATTTTAGTCTGACTGATCAGAGGATGAACAGCCCTAAGTCAACAAATTAAGGGCTGAGAACTGAAGATCCTAAAAGCCTAACATATAACTATTCAGTGTGGAAAATGAAAATAACTACCCTGAACTAATATTAGCCTTTTTGGTGATAGATACTGTTGAGCAAATTAGAAAAAAATTTGGGACCTTTGCTTATTTGACATTTCTATTTTTTCCCCGTATGTAAGCTACTTAATATTCCCAACAGATCACTGTATTTTTTTTTTTTGCTAAGTGCTACCTATTTTTATAGTGAATTACATTTCATTGTCTAAAGGCAATAATAACCTTAATTTTACTTTCATAGTCCCCGCCTATCCAATTATTTCAGTTATATTAAAAGCATGAGACTTGAAAAAAAATATGTATTTCTAGTTGATATTGCCATGCTGAGCAACCTAATAAAGACAAACACATTTTTCACGATTTTTAAAATTTATTTTCAAGGTACAGAGTGAAGACCACGGGGGCTGAAAGGAAACAGGATTCCAGCAAAATCCAGCCAAGCAAAAGGACTCACAGTCTCTCTGCAAAGATCTTTGGTTAGTTCCATTCTTATAACTTTTTCTTATTAAGTATATGACTATACATACTTCTCTGACCCAGTAGACATTAGTGGTCAATGCATGCTTCTTAATAAGAACCAATGATTTCTGAGGAAAGTTGATGATTGGGATGTAGGGATGCTTTAAAAATGTCTTTATTGGTTTTAGTGAAGATGTGAACTGAATTACCAGGTACTGGGATTCTAAGAAATGAAGCTCAGGAAGGTACAAAGACAGACAGAGCCCAAGGTAAAAACCCTTTTACACTGGTAGGCTCTTAGAGCTGAAATGGACCCTATAGATAATCTAATCTCTTTATACTTGCAGATAAGGAAAATGAGGCTTACAGATGACAGGCAATGAGCCCCAAGCTACTCTATTATTTGTGGTGCTGACAGAATGAGCACTCGGCCATCATGACTCTAAAGTAAGTATTTTTCCAAGTATTGCATCCTGAGTTCAGTGAGGTCTTGAACCTACTAATTCCCAGGCCTCATCACACAGCAAGCTCTTCCAGGAGTTTCCTTTACCGAGGATAATTAAATTAGCTTTTTTAGAAGTTCAACGCTCAACGCCCAGCACATAGTGGACCTGTTTGAACAAAGGAGCAATGGGTTGCTAAGCGCATCTTGAACTAGGAGATATGTTTTCCCAGTTACCCTTTGTCCATGTATGAAACACTTAACTTCTCCTGGATTTAATTTTTCTGTGATTTTATTACCCCACAGTGCTTTGTTCATGAAAGTACGAGGTATCTTGTTGTTGTTATTTGAACTCAGCATTGCCGAGGACAATATAATGCTTTTCTTGCCAGGGCACCTAAGAGAATATTTAGGTCTACCTCATCCTGAAACTGCTTCAGAGAATTTGCAACACATCCTTTAACCTTGTAAGTACGCCAGAACTTACCACTGAGGGCAGCTATTTTTTTTTCCTGCATTTTTCTTTTCCTGTTGAATACTTATAACATCCAAAGGCAAGGACACAAGTTCCAGAGATGATTCACATAAAAATATCAGATTGTGCATTTTCTTCAGTGGAGATGTTACTGGTGTGAAAGTGTGTGTATATCCTACAGACTCAAGAGCAACTGGGGGAGCATTAACACCCCTACCAGTATAAAAGGAATTTTACTGGACATGGATTTCTTTCCCCAAAAGTGTTAGTAAAGCTTGTGATTAAGTCCAACAGATTTATTCTTAGCACCTGAAGACCAAAAGTTCAGGAGCACCTTTCAGCTCTCTTGGGCACAAACCAACTTAATTTATTTTCAGCTACTGCATTAGTTTTCATGAATACTCAGCTATTATTCATTCGGTACGTGCTTGGGAACAGGAGCTGTGGGATTGTAACCAGTTGCTGTGAGATAAGCAATGAGGGCAAGAACGCCTGGGTTATCCTCTACTCTTCTCAGAGCCCCCAAAGAGAAACCCCTCATTTCTGCATAGCTCAGCCACCTGAAAGTCCATACTGTGAGATGCTGTGAATTAGATTTGAGAACAAAACTTTCTGTTATAATGCAATTGGTGTGTTTATTGCTGCTTATGTGAATAAGCCAGTAATGGTAGGGCCATGAGATACTTCTATTACAGGCTGAAAATTAATTTGTGTCCTGCATGAAGGGTGTCTCATCAATTTTATTGAGATTTTGTTCAGAAATTGAATTGCCAATGATACTTCAATATGTGAATCGATATATGTCATCCACAGGATCTGTGCTCCCTGTAGAAACCATTTAGTTTATTTATTCAAACATGGATTATTAGTGGCTACCGAAGGTTTGATGTCTTGGAGACTGACATGAGGAAGACATAGTTTCATCTCTTAAGCAATTTATAATCAAGAGTAGAAGAAAAAGATGAACATGGTCAACTCCAAGAAAAAGAAGAATGAAAAACATAATGTAGAAGAGAAACATAGCGACGCTCTTAAGGAGCAGGTCAGAAGGACCAGTGTATTCCTCTTGGGTGAAGCAAGAACAGTTTGGGGGGAATGATGGCAGCTGGCTTTCAGGATGATGATGCACAGGATTTAAATGGCAGAGAAGTGGGTGAGAAAGGTCTAGAGGAAGTTGTTTCTTTCCTCCGAGCTATTGGTTCATGTTATGCCATTTTCCTATCCTCCTGACAGTTTATCCTTTCCTTACTGGTTTCCACCAGCTCTTTATAAATTAAGGAAACTAATCTGTCAGTCATATATGTTTCATTCATTTTTCCTTATCTATTTATGGTATTCTTGCAAACACGTATTTTATATTTCTATATGGTCTTATATACTACTCCTTTAAGGTATTTTTATTTTGCTTAAAAATACTTCTCTCACTGCAAGATTAGACATAAATGTACCCACACTTTAATGCAGCAGTTTTTGAATTTTATTATGTTTAACATGAACCAGAAATTGCTGTTTAAGTCTGGAATTTATTTCAGTATAAGGAATGAGACAGGCATTAATCTTATTTTTCAATAGGTGATCAGTAGATTCAGCCCAATATAACTGAAAAATCTCTTTTCTTCACTAATTTGAAATATCCCCTTTATCATGTATACATACTCATACACCTTCAGCTCTATTGCTAAACTTTCTAGTCTTCTCCATCAATGTATTTCATCTCCAAACTGCCTAGTAATTGTACATTTTAATAACTGGTAGGGTTACTAGCCCCTCCCCATAGCCTTTTGTTTTCTGACATTTTAAACCTATTTTCATATGCAGTTTTCCCAAGACCTCCTCTTGCTCTATACATTGAGGTCACATTAATAAATAACTATAAATTGCCTTTGGTGCTGCCAACTCATCAGAGTATTTACTGAATAAACGGTAAATTCCCTGTGTTAGCAAGTGCACTGACAACAGGGAGCAAAATAAAATAGGTGCTGTGCTCTGAGCCTTAACATACACTGAAATCTTAAAAGACAATGGAACGTTGACCAAATTTGGTTTTAGGGACTGTTCTAGAGAGCTTAGTTATTAATGCCTTTTAAAACATAAAGTTTTTGGAGCCACATATGCATCTTTTTACATATATGAACTCTTAGAGTTTCAGATCTGTTGAAATCAATCACCTTTGCTTTAATAGAAGTGAAACATTTAAAATATTTAACATCTCTGTAAAATGATTACATCTTATTTCTTGCGATTTAGAAAGAAAAAAAGTCAACACTGGTGGTTTCAATTAGTTCTGTGACTGTCTTGTATATTGGTAAGAAAGACCAAGCAGTTTTTCCATGTTTTTTTTCAACAGGGACCCATGTTATTTATTTTGCTTTTATAATTCCTAAAGTATGCTTGTTGACAAGCATGCCATGTAAATGATAAAAAGAGATGGGAAAAAGCTGTTTATTGGTCAAATTTTAGACTACTAAGGAAAAGTCTTACTGAATGGAAACTAATGTAATTGGCCTTAAATGTCAAAATGAGCTTGAACGCAATTAGCAGCAAAGCATACCTCAGAACGGTATGCCTATTCCAGCAGCAAATTACTTTAAGTAGAATCTACACTTAAATGTAATTTCAAGAGTAAAAGGAAAGATGGCAGAAGCTCATTTGCAAAAACCAGTGAATTTTATCTGGTTAGGAAAATGTATGTAGCTGTATCTGATCACCTCTTTTCTTTCCCTTTAAATGGCCAGGCTTGGGTTAACTTCTATATGTAACACCATAAATGACAATGTAGACACAATCATGGATTTGTACAGTTTTCTAGGATTTTTTCAGGGTAAGATTAAAACAATGTGAGACGTGACACTGAGCCATGACTACCATTTATGTGGTGCTTCACAGCTCCCAGAGCAGTTAATTGTCCATCATTTAGAGTAATTGTAGCAATAACTGTGAATTAGTTACTCTACATATTGTAGCTCTTATTGCTGATGTGGACTGAGGTGCAGAGGTCTTAAAGGGTTAACCTAGGCTGGCAGGAAGCTAACAGGCTGTCTGGTGTCTAGGCTGGGATCTATTGATTTCAAATTCCTGCTGTCCTTTCAGACATTACAGGTACAAAGACATCTTAAGATCTAACAATTTCCGGTCTCCTTTCATTATCTAAATTACTATAACAAATAATACACAGGCCTGGTCTAAATAATATTTAAAACTGTTACCTCCTCTGTCTTGCCGGGTGCTGGGCACAGATCTGAAACTCCACATTATGCTCAACTGATTAATGAAAAATAGATGTCTCCAGTATTTTTTTCTTTGCTAAAATAAGCCCGACTCGTTAACATTTTCCATATGAAAAGGACATAACCTTTTCGTTTTCGTGAGAATCTACGATTACAGAATTTTAATTTACTTTAATAATAAAAATACTCTAATCATTTCA